TTCGGTGAAATATGAAATTCTAAGTTGGCAATTATTTTTTCCTCCACATTTTGTTATTATACCATTGCCTTTGATCCTCTGCTTAGGGTTATATGAAGTCTGTGTCAATCATTTGTGGTCATTTTATGCTTTCTTTATGGTAACTTTTAACGTTTAATCTTTATTCTTGATAGTCTGTAGTTTTACTACAATGTACTTAATGGTATATTTATCTTTATCAATATTTAGAGTACAATCTGGATCTGATGATTCATATCTTTCTTTACTTCTGTAAATTTTTCAACTACTATCTTCTCAAATATTGTTTGTACATTTTCTATTTTATTTCTTCTGAGAAGCTCCTTTCAATCTCTTCTCCATGCTTCTAATCTAAAGTTTCAAATTTTTTTTTCAATGGTAAAATTCATATATTGTTACAGTATGAAATACAATCAGATTACAATAAATATGTATTTCAATTTTAAGAGTACTTGGTGATTTTTTTTAATCTTTTTTTTTTGAGAGGGCATCTCTCATATTTATTGATCAAATGGTTGTTAACAAAAATGAAATTCTGTATAGAGGGGGTCAGTGCTCAATGCACAATCATTAATCCATCTCAAGCCTAATTCTCGTCAGTCTCCAATCTTCTGAAGCATAACAAACAAGTTCTTACATGGTGAACGAATTCTTACATAGTGAATAAGTTCTTACATGGTGAACAGTACAAGGGCATTCATCACAGAAACTTTTGGTTTTGATCACGCATTATGAATTATAAACAATCAGGTCAGATGAATATTCATTTGATTTTTATACTTGATTTATATGTGGATCCCACATTTCTCCCTTTATTATTATTTTTTTTTAATTTTTAATAAAATGCTAAAGTGGTAGGTAGATGCAAGATAAAGATAGAAAACATAGTTTAGTGTTGTAAGAGAGCAATTGTAGATGATCAGGTGTGTGTCACATGGAAAAAACATTATTTTCCTTTTTTTTTTTTGCATTTCTATGAGATGACAGATATTAACTGAACTTACTGTGGCAATCACTTCACAATATATGTAAGTCAAGTCAATATGCTGTACTCCTAAAACTCACTTGATGCCGTATGTCAATTATATCTCAATAAAACTGAGTGAGGGGGAAGAATAATCAAAAGTCAAAATATGGGAATAAAATCTAAAATATTTCCACTGTGTATATTTTAAAAGTTGTAATTGAAAAGTTAGTGTACTTCTTTGGTAACCTATAGATTCATGCATGAAATTCTATGAAAAGAACATTTCCACTAAATATCCAAATGTCAGAGGTGGGCTAGAGGAACAGTTAAATTTTAATCCTTATGCCCAAAGTTGCTTATTTATAGGAATAAATAGATGTTTGTAACTTAAAACTCATACTTGTGCAAAGTACACAGACCAAAAGTTCAAATGACAAACATTTTAAAGAATAGCTGTCTAAAGTTTCCATATTAAGTGTGTTTATTTTTCTCTAGGATTAGGACAGATTGCATTGGCAGCCCGGCCTTTCATAAAGAAGGGGGTGGGGCATAGAGCTGGGCCTTGATTTTCTCACAAAAGGCACAATGTGAACCGCATCTGTGAACATTGCATAATTTGTTATGTTCTATAAAGAGGTGTGTTTTTGTTAAACACATACCAAAGCTATTTGGTACTGTTTCACCAATGATCTCTATTCAGGTCCAGAAAAGAAATTGGCCTCAGAAGAGTGAAAGGAGAGTAAATTTTTCTTTAAAAATTAGATACAGATTATCGCTTCAAAATGCAAGAGAGAATTTTACAAGTGGCAGTGCACTGATTAGCTTTCCAATGGACATCTAGTCTTTTATGAAACACATACTCGCTGTGGTCAACTGTGACCAATGTGGTTTATTACTCTCCAGAAGAGTTGAACTGAGATTACCCATCTAATTTAATTGAGAAATGTTGGGTGAACTTGAACTGCGTCATGGACATGAATGACCAGAGAATTTATTTGATAAGACATTAAAGGCAGAATATGGTAACTATCTCTTTGATGGCTTGATACAGTTGTTCCTTTAGTTTCATTAGCATGCATTTCATATTTTTGTCTTCTGGCAATTATATGAACAGCCTAAAGGAAAAAAGGAAAAGTTTCTGAACAATGATTGTGAAAAAATGAGAAACTTTAGATTTACCGGTAAATATTCATGACAGTTTTTAGGTAGTTAACACTTTGAAAAGTGACATCAGCTTTCAGGTAAAGGAAGTGAACAGTAGTTAGATTGTGGAAAAATTAGTAAGTCCACTGTTTTTTTATGTGATCGTCCCTAAATTATTTTTAAAAATTGTCCTCTGATTCCATTAATTAAGAAAAAAAAGATATCAGAAAGCTGACATCTTATTCACCAGTCCCCTTTGCATTTCCTTGTAAACCAGGCAGTGCAAGCTATCATTGGTGCATCTCAGTGAGACATTTATGGTAACTTTATCAATAGTATGGTACAAAGTCTGGCATCAGATGACAAAGTGCTTTCTCTTCATATGTCTGCTAACATTTAAGATAAATTCTGCTATATACCCAATAACTAGTGCTAAGCTAAAATTTGGATAATGCATCTTTTTTTTAACTCTATTTAAATATTTTGTCTTTTAAACTACTCACAGAAACTCAGAAACTCCAAGAATAAATAACAAAATCACACTTCATGTTACTAGTGACTCTTTAAATGGAATTTTTCATTGAAACTTTGTCATTAAAATAGAAAGGCCTTTGGCTGTGCCCATACAAGCATAATAAATTGTATATGTTTGTGATACTGAATGACTCTTGCCCATATGCTGCACTGCAAAGCTACATGAATGAGGCATTTACCAAATCAGGCCCACCACATTAAACAGAAAAACAATCTTTATTCATGGTAACTTATCAGTTTCAATTAATCAACCTTAACAATGGAAATTCTGATGTGTTCAAGCAACTTGAAAGCAATAGGTCATCTCCAGGGCAGCCATGTTGTGTCTTTGTGCCTTAGGTTTCAAACAAAGCAATGTCTCCAATAAATACACATGCATATACATACATACATGTGCATATATATATGTATGTATATGTATATATACATACATATATATATACACATGCCAGTGGATAGCTTCCACTATGCCAGGTTATGACAGTAAATGCATGTGTATGGTTTGTGATTTTTATCATGGCAAAAGTAATGGTTTTCCTTCAAGTATTACTTTTTTGAGCTCTGCAAGTTTAAACAAAAGGAAAGAAATTTCCATTGGATGACCATCCTTTCAGTTTCTGTGCTGCTATGTGAATAGCATTGTGCAAACCATTCCAACGGTTTTGAAAAGGGGTAACCATTGGTTTGATTTGGTTACACGGTTTAGTAAAGAGCTCCCTCCCACTGCCTTAGGGTCTGTGAAAGGTCTGTGACCTGTTTAGAACTGCCAAGTGAAATGTCATGTTGCCCCTCCCAAATGGGAGTATCTGCATTCATTTGATCAGTATAAAAAATGATTGGGGATGGCGAGATCAGTGCTTTTGAATTGCAATTTATAGCAGTTTACAAAAATGCACATTGTTGGAAAAGAAAACATGGAAGTGTTTCTTTCTAAATTGCATTACCTGTGAAATGTCATTAGTCTTTTGGGGATATTTACATCCCTTTTTTTATTATTTAGGAGAGTTATTTCAACTAAAGAAAATCAAAGTTTTATTACATTATGATTTTCTAACTTGGATTTTGGCTTTTATAGCAGAATTTAAGGAAAACAATGTGCCTGTGTTCTTAGGATGAACATAATGTGTTATCATTTCCATTTATTGATTCTCTAAGATGTTTGCTAGTCAGTTGCATTAGCAGAAGATTCTCAATTGTCTTTCCCAGATATTATAGAGGAGATTCATTCATCGGTAAATGCTTTGTCTGCTGATTTCTAAAGTGAGTCTGAAATCAACGGCTACGTTAACTACCAGGTTTCCATTACTCCTTCAATGGTTTACTACCTAAATTTCTTTGTCAGATAAATGATTTCTAAATTATGGTACCCGTGGATTCATCTACACGTACATGAACTTTTGTAAAAGGAAATGTTATATCTCTTCATTAACTGTGTGAAAGAATACATGAACTTTACCCAAAAAAGTCAAGGTAGGTTGTTCAAGTTCATAAAGGCTAAATACAGCCACCTGGGTCTCCAGTGTGCAGAAAACAATGCCGTCTCTCTTATGTCCAGGAATCTTGAAAACTCCATCTCTTCACCTTCAGCAGTGGGTGGAATTGGACATTGTTCAGAAGAATTCTTCTTCTAGTAAGAAAAGTAACCTTGGGAAAAGGGCCTCAGAACTTCCCTGGTTGCTACTTGACCAGAAAAAGAAAGGCCCTGCTTCAGAAAACACTTGACCCAGACCAACTCCCTAGCACTCCACTTTGAACATTCCAACCACTGAAAGCAGAGGTTGTCACGTTTTATCTTTGTTCATGTTAAGCCTTGGAATGACAGCCCAATCCTGTGTCCCTTCTCCCACTGCCCCAGCTGTGAATGTCTGCATGGACACCTACCAATGACTGCAGGGCTGCAATTCTTTGTTGCCTCCTCCACGCTTCTGGCATTCACTGGGAGGGCTCAGGGCCTCTGTTCCCCTTCAAAGCTGGAACATCATATCCCATGTTGTGGCTCTCCTGTCTCAGACCTACAACGCTTTCCTCACAATTTGCACACCAAATAAAGGTCCTTCCCTAGAGAGCAGAGCTCAGCTCCTGTGGGGAGGATCTAGCCATTCCCCAGTTTCAGAACCCCTGCCAATTTGATTTTGTTTCCTTCGCATTCATTTTCTGTTTCATATGAAGGAAGATTGAAAACACCAATGGAAAAATCTTGGTTAGATCCTTGGACCCAAACACATGACAACCCCTGCCGTCTTTTATTCTTGCACAATGGTTCCTAATTCTAGGGAGATAACTCTCCACAGAAGGTCTTTTACCCGCCTTGGTCACAAGCACCTGAAACCATTTCCAGAGTCTGAGGCAGCAGGAAACCTTTAGAGGAACACTGGCTGACAAACTCTACTTGGAAGGCCAAGGAGGATCTGACTGCCTGACCTATGCCAGGTCACTGAAGAGGCCCCCCCGCCTAGTGGTGGCAGGCCTGGGAAGGCCCCCTAAACATGATGCAGAGTGCTCTGCATGAGTCGTGGGTAGGGGGGTTATGTCTAGTAAGTGAAACAAATTTCATGTCTATTCATCTTTCCGTGTTTTTAGTGAGGCTGTCAGGAGCCCTGGAAGAAGAAAGAGCCTTTGGAGAAGCCATCAATACCCCCAGAGCACCCCAGTGAACAGCATGGACGCCACCGAGTAAGGGAGAGACCCCTGGGCTGCGCAGAGCAGAGAGGGATCCCAGAGAGAGGGTCCTCCCATTGTGCCCAAGGCCTGCCTCCCTGGCCAGGGAAATGATCTCCAAGGCTTTTCCAAAATAACTGTTCGTCTCCCCACGATGGTGCACGTAACTGGAGCACCGCACTTGAGAAGAACAACGCGCGCCCTCTGCGCGCATCCTTCCAAGCCCGAAGGCAATGGCTCGCTCATGCCGTGGCCGCAGCGCACAGACCCCGAGGGCCGCCATCATTTCGCGCCTCCTGGGCTCAGCTTTGTGCCCCAAAGCCTTAGGGTGGGAAGGAAGGAACTCAATTAAAAAGTTTGAGGCACCTGAACTTGATTCGCTCCCTTTCTAATCCATCCAATCTCTCCATAATACGAAGTCAAATTGATTTACTGCCTCCTCGCCCGCCAACTAATTTCTGAGAAAGCCAACCCTAAAGCCTCCGGACAGAGGGGTGGGGGTACGGGGGTAAATTTGCTCTAGGGAGGTCAACTCAACAGTATATATCACACAGGGCTCCTAGAAGCATCTTTAAAGCTATAAACAGTTTCCTTAGTGTTTGGAAAACTTTGAAGTTTTGCTTGCCGAGAAGTATCAAGACCAAGATTCACGTGCTTATTCTTTTCCGAATGTCAGGTTTTTAACGTTTACTGAAGGTGAGTTTGCTTTCTTCTGTACGTAATGTACAACTTGGCCCTCTCTGTTCCTCTACCTACAAGGTAGGCCCTGTCTGTAGACCAGTTTCAGAATCGTAGACTCTGGATTACAATTTTCTAAAGCTATTCTCAAGAAATGTATTTGTGGCAGCTGTCACATAAAGCTGATATATTCTGGTGCAAAAGAAAGCTAGAGAGGCGATTTATTTGTGCGTAAAAGGCACAAGATTTAATTGGAGAGAGACGTGTTACTTTCAGCGCAAGTACATGGGGTGGCATAGCGCCGTGGAGCATTATTCGAGCTTCATCTACTATGCACTATATGCCACCGTCTCCAAAGGGAGTGTTGCCCTAGAAACTTGTTTTAAGTCTGCTGCTATATATCAACACCTTGTTTTAGCAGTCCTTGGCTGAATTACAGTTACACAGTTTGGCGCTTCTTTCAAATTTCCTCCCATCAGTTTGGCTAAAGAAAGGAATTTTTCTCCTTTAGAAATGAATTGGCTTAATTAGTAAGTAGATTAATGGCAATTGCTGGTGAGTTGGTTTCCAGCAGAGTTTCACCAGAGAGGGTTAATCGGAGTCAGGTCTGGAATCTTTCCCAGAACTGGCTGCCAGCCATTTCCACCAACCAATCAACCCTACAAGAAACAGAGGAAATGAAATAGAATTTATATTCTCTGTGCTATTATCCTGCACGGAAATTCCTTGGGAGCAGCCCCCTAGTAGGATGCAATAAAGGCTTTCCTAACAGAATTTTAACAGGAACCTTGAAAGGATTCACCTTCAAGATTTATCTGGGTACCAGAGGAGAATTTCAGGTGGTCTGCACATAACACTGAGGGTGCATTGCAACCACCTATGGCTCTTAGTCAATTTCAGGTTTTACATAAGTTGCAAAAACCTCCTAACTCCCACCCTAAATCTGTCATCTACCAGAAGCATTTAAAAAGTTTAGTTATATGTTTTGCAGCCTTTTCAGTTATTTTTTCCATAGTGATAAAAATGCATTCATAGATTAACTTGCAGCTGCATTAGCTTTGCAAAAAAAAAAAAAAAATCCCTGCTGAGAAATGCATATAATAGGAAAAACAGATCGGCTGGACAGCAGTGTAATTAATGCCAGAAAGGGCTGAGGCCGGTTTCATAGTTTGTCTTTTGAGCATATCAAGACGAGACTTGGTGAAAAATGACGCATGCTTTAGCATTTCAGAAAGCTGGCAACTGGCAGCGCTTTTCCTTTTTTCTTTGACTTTCCGCCTCGGAACAAAGAGGTCGGCAGAACTAGCTAGGTTGTAATGAGTTCTATGTCCCTAGCACATTAAGTGCATCATGGAAACATATTGTATCGAAATAGTTTGGAGGAGAATACCGGGGATGAAAGAGAATGGGTGCTTTGATCAGCTCCCTGGGGTCCTGAGTGCGCACAGACTGACTTGCAAGGAGTTATTCAGCTCCAGCTAGACACACTTACAACACCATTCAAAGAAATTTGCATATCTGTAATTTATCACATTGGTCCAGAACATTTTTGCAAGGTAAATAAAAGTTGGCTGAATTAAAAAAATCAATCATCGCAGATATAGTGGAAACCATGCAGCCAGTCTTTCCCTTAAAAACGTAAATAAGTATGTCCATAAAACATGATGATTTGGAGGCTTTTATTTTAAAGTGTACTTAGAGCAACAGGTTATGTGCTGACAAAGACAAGATTGGTAACAATTTCTTTGCACTTCTGCTTTAGGGAAGTGTATTTGCAGCTTCCCACTAGAATAAAGGCCTAAAGCTGAATGAGATGTGTGTGGCTATAACCAGCCCGCGACATGCAGAGTAAAATTAGTACACACTTGGAGGAGATGTGAAAGATGGCTTAATCTCTCTGGTGTCTGCAAGCGCTAAGGTTAAATCTCATTTCTTCTCCTGTTGATTTCATTGCCAGGCCCTGGTTGCTAAATTTACAAGCTCAAGACGATGAAATGTCCCCACACCCAGTCAATAGGAAAACTTGCTTTCAAATGCCCCATGAGAACAAGGGAAAATTTAACAGGCAGGCATTGTTCTGAGTTTTTAAACAACTGGGTTAAACAGCAAACAAGAATCTTCAACTTGACCTTGGAAAAGGCTGTGTGCCTGCAGATAATCTATCAAACAACCCTGGATGACAATGATATATTTCAGAGTATTGTCAGATGAAAAGATTGATAAATTTGCTGCTGCAAAGAGAGAACTTTGAAAACAGCAACAGGCAATTTAGTGCCCTGTGTCCGCTGCCTCCTCTGTCCTTGCCGCACCATCCCTACCCCTTACCCCCAGCCCTGGGGCCAACTCAGTAGAAGAGGGCCAGTAAATCAGCACTGTAATATTTCTTAAGGGGCATGGAAAAGCTGTGAACAGTACCTCTCATATTAAATGCAATATTTCTCTGCTTTCGTGGGGAACAAAAGTCATAGCAAGACATCTTTATGGCTAATTCAGTCAAAGGCACATCTTGGCTCCCCCCGCAGAAAGGTCAGTGTCGTTGTGTTTGGTCCACCGAGGGGGTGTTTTCACACTGAAAACGGAGCCAGCTGTTCCTGTCTTACCGTCGCCATTGGGGAGCGCACACTAGCCATGGTTATTAGGCACATTCTACACCTGCAAAATATACCGATTTTCAAGACTTTTCAAGACACCCCACCCCCTTTCTCATGCCCCCTCCTCTTTCGTCTGCTAAACTTTGACAACACAATTCAAGCCCTGGATGAAAGCGCTGCACAGCAGAGGAAAGCTGGGGAGGGAGCTGCTCAGCTAGTGTCTCACGGTGTCTATTGAGCAGCCATCAAAGAAACGTGGCATCAAGTTTGTTTTCAAAAGTATGGAAAAACTTCCAAATAATTGCTTAGAAGCATCGCACATTTTGCTATTGCTACAAATGCCAGTTGTTGAACCCTAATATTTAATTTTATGCACCAGTGTTAGGTGCAGGGCTGCAGCCAGGTGTCCTTCATTTAGAAGTGGTTCTTTTCTTTAAAAAAAAATACTTTTTAAAATTTGTATTTAGCATGTCACTCACTGACTGACAATAGGAGATAAGTTTTTTCAGCTACCTCAATGCAAGTCCACATTCTTTCTGAAAACCCAAATACCAACACGTTGTTATCCATTTGATAATGCTTGACCAATTGGATTTCATAATAAAACTCCTAGAAACATCGCTAGCCTTATCACTGGAATCTAATTCCAAAGGCTTGCACTCAAAGATAGGTGACTACCTAGCTGTCGGGAGATTCTCAGCAGCCAAAGAGGAGCCTATGAAATCGCTGAAAATAAATTGTAAAGCTAGAAATCATTCAGAAAAAAAATCACTGTAAAAGTGAGAATGCCCCAAGTGGCAGTACTGGATGACAGGAATTCGAAAGTAGCTTTCTCCAGGAGCTCCTGGGGGTGGGCGGTGCGGAGATGAGGGACTAAAGATTCCTGTGCGTCTAAAGGTGGGTGGAGGCGAGGAGGAGAAAAGGAGGATTTAATTAGTCCGTGGTGTTTTTCTAATCCCTTTGTCTAGTTCTTCCACCCAAATTGCAAAGAGTTACATGAGAAGCCCCCAGAGTGGGCAAATGCAGGAGGGCCCGGGACGCCTTGAGTTCCCGGGACACAGGCAGGGGTGAAACACACCATGTGCCACAAGAGGGGGGCAGGGGGACCTCTCACTAGTAGGGAACCCTAAACTCTTTCCTGCCGCCTGGGGGCCTCCACGCAGCCAGCCACCATCATGCAAAGCGCCAGCGCCTCTCCAAAGCCACGTCGGCGCAACTAGTTGGTTGGAAAAGGTGCAGACCCCCCAGGGAAGGGGTTGGCATGAAGCTTTGGGGATGAGCCAAGGGCCACGAGCCCCCCGAGAAGCAATGGCAGGTCCCCAGGGGCCCGAAAGTAGGGGAGAGCTAGAAACTCGCGCCAGCGCCACTGTTGCTGCTGGTTCTGGCGCCCCAGTCGGGAGACAAAACCAGCTCGCCACAGCCTGCGCCCTGGGCCACTGGGCCCTCTGCAGGCGGCCGCCCAAGGGCTTACCGCCCAGCCAAGGGGCGTAGTTACCCCGGGCCTCCCCGAAGGAAGCCCTGGATCCCCTCGTCTGCCCTTCTTCAGGCTATTCGCCCCCTTCTCTGCTCGCCGCTCCCTGTA